TCATGAAGAGCTCTGCTTATGAAGCAGTGGTCAGGTGAAGACTTGGGAGACTGTGAGAATCTTGTCAGGAATACTAGAAAGAGAGGAGGAGGTGGGGTAGGTACACAGGGAAAGGATATTTCAAGGGAGGACACAGCATGAACGGAGCCCAAGGCAGGACGGCATGAGCTATTTAGCAGTGAGGCAAAGGGTCCCAGTGCTCTTGGCTTCAAGTGATGATGGCCAGCATGTTGACAGAATGTGCAGGCCGGCAACCCAGGCCTCAGAATGGAGCAACTGAAAGGCAAGTGTGCGCCCCTGGTCCAGGGTTCAAGGCTAACTGTGCTTGGAAACATAGCTCCCTCCTGCTTGGTCTCTCCCAGGCCTGACTCGCATCTGCCTGGGAGCTCTCTTTCTTTCCTTCTGCCTCTTTAGCCTTGCCTCTTCCTTCAGTCATCTGAGTTCCTCCGTCTTCCTCTGTGATGTCTTCTCAGAACATTTGATACTGTGTAGAAGATGGGTCTCTCACACTATAAGCAGATGTGCAAAAATTGCCCATTTCCTAATTTTCTTTAGATCAGATAGATTCTAACTCCCAGCCCTGTCTCCCCAGAATCATGCTAAGTTCAGTCTCAGTGACTGTGACATCTTTATCCTCTTTTCTAGAAGTGACAAGCCTCCCTGTGGCTTCAGATGGAGGAAGCGCCGCTGGCATTCAGTCCATCATGGCTGTTTCAGATCTCCCCTTCCTGCTTGGCATGTGTGACCACTGTCACTCTCTGGCTTTGCACAGTGGGTGGGATTTTGACCTGGGCTGAGGGCCCCACCGCCCAGGGCCCACTCTTCCTGGGGACTCCAAGGGAAGGGTGTCACTGGTCCCCTCTGAGACTGTGCCCTGCTCTGGAGTGGGGCATGGCTCTCTGCCTTCCCTCGGCCTGAGTAAACTGTAGTGAATTTAGGCTTTCATAGAAAGCAGGAAAATGCAGCAGGTCAGAATATCCAGCTTTTATCCTGCTACAAACCTGGAGCCAAGGCTTAGCCACTTCCAAAGACTTTCAGCAACAAGGAAAAGAGAAAATGAAGAATAAAATACTATGTCAAATTAATGTGTCCATAAATTATCAAAATCAAAATCTCATTTATCTTTTGATGTTTAGGTTTACAAAAGTTACTTGCTTAGAAAAACTCTCTACTCTAGTTTCATTATCTATAAAATGGCAGTGATAATACTAATAATAATAATAAAAAAAATAATTACTTCTAAGGGTTGTTACAAGAATTAAATTACTGAATACCTACAGGTTCCTCAGAACAGTACCTGGGTCATAGTTACGCTCTTAAAAACTACGAGCTGCTTCATTAGTTATTATCCATTTGACCATTAACACGCCACTGAGGACTGTAACGATTTCAATCTGTGCACGGTGCTCAGCACGTACCATGATTAAAATCCCTTGCCCATTACAGCACTCGATCCATTCTTGGTGATTCTAACTTGACAGAAGGAACAGGATTTGTCCCACAGATCCCAGAGGAGAGTCTGCACCCTGAATAACTATTCCAACTATTGCTCACCATATGTCCACAACCAAAGAAAAAATAATTTTGGAGGGCAGGAAATGAGCACACATGTGCATGTCTGCAGAGAGTAGCCTGCTGAAATCGACACGTAAGGCATATTTACCACTGAGGCAAATGCCTTCATGTGTTTGTAAGTAGCTATTTCGGAACATCGAAAAGGAATGAAGAGAGAAACTGAATTCAAATGGCATCATGTGTTTGTTATTTTGGAGCAAGGTTATATGAAAGGAGAGCTTCCCTTATGCCTGGAAAACTTTTAAGGGGGGGAGAAATGAAGTATTTAAAGGTATTTTAATGATCATGAAAGGCACTGGCTTAATAGGGCAGGAAACTACAGTTCTCGTTTTAGTCCCAGAAGGAAAATAACAAGGCTGTAGCTTAGCCTTCCCTGAAGAGTCATAAACTGGACTGCAAAGAGGGAGCCCCTGGAGACACCCTCTCTGGGTCTCTGCAGCCCCTTAACTGTGGGTCCGTCTGCCTGGGTTTCCAATGTGCTTGTTAATTAGTGATCACAGCACTGTGCTTAGGTAGCAAGGACCTGTGCAGGGTCTGGGGAGAAGCCGCCACCTTCCTGCAAGAGGGTTAAGGAACCTTCCTGAATGAACTGGCTTATTTAGTCCTGTGTTTTCTGCCAGCTCCTTGGCCATTCACAGTCAGAACTCCCATCTACCTGGCTAACCCTGCCTTCTCTTCTTCCCCTGCTCACAACCAGAAGTCCTTGTGCTGTTCCCTACTTCCAGCAGCATTACAAGCATTAATTTTTGTTGTTTGCAGTAGTTACATCTTAAAAGTCACCAGGACCACTGAGTTAGGAAATACCAGACCACGGCTGTGCAAGAGATACAGTTAGTTTCCTGTAACTGTCTGCTTGTAACATTTTCAATAACTGTTCAATAAATAATATTTTATATTTGTTGGCATAAAGACATCTTAAAAGCTGCTAATTGAGTACTCTGTTATTAACAGGGAATCGAGGACTTACTGAAAGAGGTGCCTTGGGGTGTGCAGGCCCTGAGAAACCCGCCTCCGCTTTTTTTTGAGACAGAGTTTTGCTATCTATTTCAGACTACCCTTGAATTCACAGCTCGGGCTGGCCACAAACTCAGCAATTCTCTTGCCTCAGCTTTCTAACTTCTGGAGTTACAGGCACGCGCTCTGATGCACGGACACCTCCTCTCCTTTTGTCGTCTATGCTCCAGCTTGTGGGCTTGAGCTGTGAGTCCAGAAGCTCTGCTTGCACTTGTCAGCTGAAGCTTACCATAGCAAAGCCTGTCCCTCATACTGTCTCTGTGGACAACTTCCCTCTGTCAGCTTCCCTTTGACATTGTCTATTCAGAGATGGGCTCATTCTTTAAAGGTGCTAGGAGTTTATTTTTGATCTCCTGAATTTGTTTCATTTTCAGAGGGATTTGACTCTTTATTGAACAGCAACATGCCTTGGAAGTATGGTGGGGCCCTTGGGCCAGCACATTAAAGACACACTGTCCGATATCATGTGGAGGTCGTCAGCAGGCTGTGAACCTGTTTTGCACCAGCCCCGTTCTGACAACTTCATCTACGGCCATTCCATGGGAGGCATTAGGAGAGAAGAAGAGTGTTCTCTCCTAAGAGAGATGACATACTCATGGAAAGCTATGTCCATGTCTATAGAGGAACGAACATCTCAAAGAAACAAGGACATGAAATAAAATCAAGAGAGCATTGATCACAAGACACAAAGATGGTCGCATTTTTCCTCCTGGTTTTTAACAATTTTCATGCTGGAATCAGTGGTGTCTTCTTCAAGTATGTCTCGGTGCATGTCCAAATGAGTTCTCCCACTCTGGTCCCCTGAGTTCAGTCACATTTGTGTTTTAATTGCTTTATCTCCAATTGGCTTTCTCCTCTATTCTATTTGTCCCAGCCATGCCATCCTAATTTTTGTTGACTCCCCTTTCCATTCCTCTCTACTCTACCCCTACCCTTTACATGCACAGAGACAATCGTATGTACTGGGTTTGAACTCAAAGAAAATTCTTCTCCAAACATATGAGAGATCAATTTTCCACAATGGTATTGAGCACGTTTTCTTTGGGGCTGTGTTTCTGAATGTACATGGCATGATCTTTAGCATGAAAGGAAATCATAACAGGGAAAATGTTATTGTAACTCAGGGAAGAAAATCTCCACATAGGATCAATACTATCTCCACAAAGCCATTTAAAGAATATTCCTGGAAAAGGAATTTGGGATGGGGAGGCCACTTTTATCCATGAGACAGAGAGGAAAGGAAGCTCAAGGATATCCACGCTGAAAGACATCTCAGACTCACATAGGGTGGTGGAATGAGGGGCAGATCCAGGATTCCTGGCTCCACACTAAGCCAAACAAAGCACAGCTCGGCCTCCACATGTCCCTGTGTGACACGGCCCAGCCTCCTGCCTGGAGAAACTGGCTTTACTCCTTACCAAACCTGGACAACAAACCCTGGCCCGCCCGATCTCTCCCCATGCTCCTTCTGCAGGTGACTCATGGGCTCCTCCATTCTGTAGCTTCCTCATTCCAACATGGGGATCTCTCTCTTCCCAGTGCTGGATACTCACTGGAGGCAGCCACAGGGGTGACTGCATGCTGAGCCTCGCATGTGCAGTGCCTTCTGGGAGGTCTGCCTGTGGAGGAGCTAAGACCATTGCATTAGAGTGTGGGAGTCTTTTTAAGGTGTATTATTCTAAAGACAGTCGCATGCTGCAGGAAACCTGTTCTCTAACAGAGTGCTCTCCTCATTGCAGTACCCGCTGCCCCAGCCTTGGTTTTCCTAATTTTACACTGAAGAATCAGTGTGCCCGGGACATGTCCGTCTCCCTTTGCCTCGCTCTTTGGCTCATCTTCTCAACAGCAGAGCAGCACAAACAGGAGGAAGTGCACAGACTGATTTATCCCAGCCTGCCAGTTGTTTTGGGCACATTGGGGATGGAGAGTGTCTGCTCTCCTCACTTCTCAGCAGTCTCTGAGCAATAGTCCCACCTTTCATTAAAAACACACACAGTGGCCTTTGAGAATGGCCACCATGTACTCATCGTCTGCTTTCCAGGGAAGCCTCCGGACAAGGTCTGGAGCCTCTGTTTCCAGGCAGCCTCCTCTCAGCCGAGCAGAGAGAAGGCTGGAAGGATGCTTGCTGGTACTGGTACCATGGAAGGTTTCACTCTGAGTGTAAATGAGAGGCAAGCATTACAAGTGACAGTTTTAGCAAATCCAAGTAGAGTGGACTGTTCCCATCTTTATTCGCATTATGTGTCATGACAAATGTCTCTTTAGGAAAGACAGCATGTGCAAAGTCAGACAGAACCCGGGCTGTGATTATGCACAGGAGTGGGAGAGATCACCCTTGTGAAAGTGGGGTATGGCCAGAGGATGAGACACCCTACAGCTGGATCACCCACAAATCTCCCTTTGTTCTCTCAGAAGCACAACATGACCCTGGGTCCATTTTATTTTACTTTTTTTTTTTCTTTCTGTCAGAGTCAAAGAAATTTGAGTTTCCCATTGATTGCAACTTTGGAACAGAGCTGGAAGAGGAAGACATTGCTGAGCCTGAATTAGTTTTGAACATCTCAAGTGTAGGACGCTCAAGGTACACAAAGTAGAAGCTGTAATGCTCTAAGGGTCAGCAGGAAAAATGGTCACATACTGTACTGCAGCTTTCAGGCATCTGAAGACATGTGGGTCCATGCCAAACCTCAGGTTCTCAGCTAAGTGACCAGCAAAACTGAGCTTCTGGATGTTGGTCCTCTCTGAAAAAGAAGGGCTTCCCGTGAATGGCTAGAATGGGCTTCCCATTCTGTCTCGCTCCTGAGACATAGTGTCTGACACTAGCACCTGAAAGGGTGGGAGGTTCCTTTTGGCTCAAAGCTTCAGTGGGCCCACTTCATATGAGCACATGCAGCCGTGGAATGCATCAGGAAGAATCTACTGATGGGCATAACACCTTCGTGACCAAGGCACCTTCCCAAAGCCCCGCTTCTGCGTACGGCGGCTTTCAGGGGACAATTTAGATCTAAACCATGAAAATATTCAACATCAACGTATGTCTTCTTAACACCCCAAAGCTGATGCCCTGACTCTACCTATTCATAAGCCAGTAAGGGTTTATTAGCACTAGCAGGCTAGGGTACAGCGTCATGAAAGGGAAAGACCTAAAGGAGGCAGAAGCAGACCTTTACAGGAAGGATAAAATGAGGGACTCACAGAGTCTCTGTCACTGGAATTCAGCTGTGCTGTGGTAGGGAGAGAGTGCTGGTCTACATTGGATCCATGGGCCACAATTTTTTGACTCCTAGTTTATTCACGGAGGCACCAGGAAGTATGTAGCCTGCTCAAGGTCACTCCACTAGGGAAGAAGTTCTCTTGAACAAGGTTGGAAGGGATGTTGGCATAGAAAGGGTTTTTACACAGGTCCCAGGCAGCTTCTCCCAGGAAAGGCAGCTCCTACATTTGCCTCTGTGAAGCCAACGTGGGCACACATCCCCACACTCAGCATCAGCCCATTCTGACCATGAATATGCCTTTCAAGAGCATGCAGCTCCTCTTCCCTGAACTTCCCAACCATGGCTGTATCCCCATTGGCTAGACCTGCCAGGTCCCTGCTGCCCAAATAACGGAGCAGGAACACTCTCCATACTGACTGCCAGGGTCCTGTGTAGAACTGAGACTCCCTGTGTGGAATGCCACGCAGGGCCTGGAACCTGGCCCACCTGCCCACTGGCCGGCTGAGCTCAGCCAGGTGGCAAGCCATTATGTCTCCCTACCACCAAATCATAATAGCTTGAATCATAAAAGCTTGAAGATATTGTTCTCATTTTGTAGTAAATACTTTTGTCTCCACTTCCAGAACCCATAAGGAACTGTGAGAGTTCAGGGAAAGATCCTGTGGCCCAGTGCCTAAAGGGCGTCTGGGAGTTGTGGGGAGGGCTGAGTTCTACCCCTTGCTAGTCTTGTGAAGTTCACAAGTTCCTTTACCTTTCCGAACCTCCATTACATCTGTGTGAAAGGAAAAACAGGACAGCACTACTTCCTGTGCAGACGGTTGTAGAGATTAAATGAGATCCGCAGATGACAGTGATCGGCACAGACATGCTGAGCACTGAGATGAGTGCCTGAGATGCTGTGGGGATCGGTCCACGACTGCTGCTTATTCCTGAGCTTCAGACAGTGGGAGGTCATGTGGGCTGGGAGGAGCTGAAGGTGGGGCCTGGTGGGCTCTGAGAGTCATGGAAAGGAGGTTCCAGGGTAGGAGAAGCCAGGGCCCGAGGCACAGAGAGACGCGGGGGAGGCAGGTGCAGCAGCCAGGGCTTCTGCAGTGGTGGTGAGGGCAGCAGAAGCAGGCACGGCGGGGGAGAATAACAAAATTTTAAAATTTTGCTGTATTGGAGACAGATTGGGCTTTTAATAGGTAGATAATTGGGACTCATTCCAAAAGTTTTTGAATGGGATGGAACTTGGTAAAATGTCTTTAAATGGTATTTGGGAAAGATGAATCAGGCAGGAGTGAACAGGAAGGCTAGGTGGCAAATACTGGAATTCATCAAAGTCAAGTTGCCTTTCTCCTGTGCCTACAATTAGATCACGTTTTCCAGACAGATGAAGCCATATGATGCAGTCCTAGCCAATTAGAAGATGCTAGAAGAGATGTATGCAGCATCCAGGCCCACCCCATCACGTGTGATCACACATACTCTCTTCCCTATGTACCTGTGAGAAGCAGAAGATCTGACAGAGAACTTCCAAGCCCCCTGGAATCTGGGCAGAGTACAAATAAGGAGGACCCTGTACCAACTGACTGCACAAATCAGAGTTCTGCCTCCCAACCAGTGGATTTTATGAGACTAAGCAACAAACATCTACTAAGTAATGTCACTAAGCAGTTGGGATTATGTGTTACCTTGGTTAGCTTGCCCTGATCAATTCAAGATAGAATGAAGAAACCGAAAGAACAAACAGGGCCATTGCCATGATTTAGGTAAGAAATGAAAAGCTCAGGTGAATTGGTTGAGAGTGGTGTGAGAACAGGTGAAAAGTGCTTGTTTGGGTGGAGACACACGGCCTGGGACTAATCAGACAGGCACAGTGTATCTAGGGAAAGGGGTAAAATGAAAAATACAAATTTGTTTTTTAAAAGCTTCTAGTTTTTTAATGTAGTGGTCAAGAAAATAGTGGTGCCATTGACAAATTATCAGAAGGGAGGAGAAGTCCTGGGCAAGTTGATGATGAATTTGTGATGAATTTGAGGTGATGGTATAAAAACATGCATCTGGATAAGAGTGTGTATTAGACTTATTAGGCCCATAATTATCGAGGCCTATAATACTGGGTGTGGGGAGTGGCCTTACTGCAGCCCACGCCTCCACCTACTAGCTTGACCCCTTCAACTCCTACCAGTAGAAATAGTCCAAAACATCTCTAACCATTGCCAAATGCCCCTCGGGGTGAGACCAAATCATGCCCATTTGAGGAACACTGGTCCAGAGGAAACAGCATGTGGGGTGGGGTGCAGGGGCCGGCCTCTGTGAAGAATTGTGCATGAATAATCCCGGTGGTTTTAGTTCTGCAAGGCTGGGGGTTCTGCAGATTGCCAGAGGTCAGCATCTCAGCACAGGCCCATTGGAAGCTGTCTGCAGGATCTCAGGCCTCTCCCAAGGCCAAAAGAGACCTGGCATCTCTGAGGCATGTGTGTTCGCTTCAGTATATTATCAGTTGAGCCGGTAACAAAGCTTTCCAAACGGCACAAGCAAATCTCCCGGACGGCAACTGGCAGCCTGGTTTGGGAGGATTCCCTTTTCATTTCCTATGCTTTATGATTTTTTTTTTTTGCTTTTGCTTTTCAAAGAGCATTTTTACAAGCTAGTATTCTATACTGCTCTGCCTGTACTGTGAGAAAAGATAAATATTTTCAATGTGTTTTCCGAGGCATATGCTCCCATTGAGAAAATGTATCCCTCATGGACATAGCTATTTTGACCTCATTAGCTGTGTAGATCAGAAGGAATTTGACAAACAGGGGCCTCTAAGCCCAGGAAGTCTCCAGGGGAGCTGGGGGTTGGGACCACAGTGGGGGGCACCTTTGGGTTTCCCAAGGGGTTACAGCAGGAGGCTGAGAGGAGTCTAGTGAACAAGTCCATCGATGAGAGAGGCCTGAGAAAGTGACCTTGCTCCTGGTCCCCAACTCCGGGGTCCCACTTACTGGGAATAGTGAGGAGAGACTGGAGAGCAGGTTTAGAATTCTACAGAGGCTCCAAGACCACCCCAGGGAAGCTCCCACACACTGCAAAATCTCCAACAGTTAAGTACAGCAGCTTTCTTCCTGAAAGGCATTCCAAAGGAGGTTTTATTGGGTGAAGAATGGCCTACTCATGGTAATTTGACAAAGACTTTCCAAGTTTTAGCACTGTAAATTGCACATCAGGGGAATCTTTTCAGTCCTTGGCTACCTGGGTAGCTTGTTCACCCTACCTGGAAGAATGAACCCAAGTGGGAGCTATTTGTGTCCCAAGGAAAACAGGGGAAGCCTGCTGTTCCCAGTTCCATTCACATCACCCCAAATGTTACAGTTCAGCTTTGATGTTTGGTCAACCCTGCATTATATTTCGGATCTAGATTTCCACTATCAGACTTATTATTAGCTGAGTGACTTCAGATAAATCACTTAACCTCTCTGTACCAAAGTTTTCCTTCTGTGATTTGGGGCAATGCTACTCTTGTACAGTTCAAATTAGATTAGTGCACTTTAACCTTTTGGCACATGTACGTTGCCAAAGTATAGATGGCAATGGTTATTACTGTAATTAATACCTGGTTCCCAAGACATTAATTACAGCACTTGAGAAGGGTAATTTGGTACACCACCATCAGCTAACAAACCAGGGAAATCAGTCCTCATCTTACCTAAATTATCTGCAGCCTTTGTAGAGCTGGTAATGCTGTTCTGAGAGTATCATGAGGCACTTTCTCTACCTGACCCACGCAGTTCTGCTCTTTGGTTTCTGCTCTTCTTAGTCTCCTTTAACAGAGCCTCTTAATTCTGAGCCTCTGCTTGTTGCGAAGTTGGGCCTATGTTTTAGACTTTGGGATTTCTTGGTCTTGCCTCTTCGTAATTCATAGATGATCTGAACCCCTCCACCCAGCTCATGACTTTAAAGCCGATCTTCACACAAAACTCCTGGTGTTTCACCTCTAACCCCAACCTCTCTTCTGACAAGCAGCAATGAACTCAACTCATTCTCCCCACCGGGCATGAGGGTCCCTTCCGTTTCCCATCTCTGGAACATGTAACAGCAGACCCGTGTTTTCCTTCCCCCTGATGACAGTGAAGCGATTCTGTGTTGTCTACCCCTTGTCCATGATTCTATCACCTAACCCTATTTTGGTCCTCACAGGCATTTTTACTCTCAAGCCTCCTTGGTATGAGACTGCATTATGGATTGATGTGTCTGAGGTCTAAGTCCTTGGGGGGCATCTTAGCAATCTTGCCTTGAAGCATAAAGGACTGAGGCAAGAAGCAGCCAGCTTCCTCTTATTAAGTAGCCTGGAACAGAAATATTGTGGCTACTTCAATTCTGTCCAAGGACATTATCTCTCAATTTATCTTTTATTTATACTTTTTTATTTACTAAAGTGAGCTGATGAGATAATTAGCTGATTTAAACTAATATACAAGGATTTAATCTGCATGATGTGACACTGCAAAAACATTTTATCATCTTAATCGTCATCATTTGGTAGCTCTTTGTCAGTTGTC